AATCCCAATGTACTCCACTGACTCATATGCCAATGCCAATAAAATACTATAACGTTGTTTACAGCAACGGTGCAGGAAGAGGTCACACATGAATTAGTGGAATGAAATGTGAGGTCGCAGGCTTCATTCAATACATCATATCGCTCTTCACTCTTTTTCGTTCATGTCCATGCGATGCTATCTTTATGTCACTGCATTTCAATTTATCCACTAAGCTGCTTCTTGAGCAATAAACATTTCAGAAATATCTCTGCATTTCATCTCCAAAAAAAACAGTCTCCGAGTCTGCAGGGATTCTTACTACATAAGGTAGGAATCAATTTTCATTGCATTTCATATAGTAGCAGAGTAATTGATAGTAGGCATCATCAAATTATGAATTTATTTCAAATTATAGTTGAAAATTGTCTCTTCCTTTATTCGTTCCTGTCACTCTTCAGCAGTCGGACCGTCATTCAAATTTGGATCATCCATCGTAAGTAGGAAATGAAAAGTGTCAAAACTGTCATAAATGTGTCATCACTCTATATAAAGAGTAATGCTGCTCCAGTACTACCTCTGTTAGCACTACTTCCATGTAAAAGTGTTTATAATCAAGAGAAATGAATATGCGACGACAGTGTGCCATCATAGTAGCATCGTCGTAAATAATTTAATACCATCGATCGAAGGGAATCGATAATGCCATCGTCGATATCTGCACTGCTAATGATTTCGTTTAGTTTTTTTTTTTCCAAAATTTTTATCTCTCTGTGGTTTATTAAGACAACTATCTATCAGTGAATTTTATTCTATCTACCATCAGTTTCTTCCACTGCTAGCACAATTGCTTTAACGAAGAAAAGTTTTATAATTGAAACAGCGATTAGTTGTTAGTTCGAGGAATAAAAAAAGCTGGATGGAATTCGGCCAAACGGAGAAGTAGACCTCCATTTGGTCGTATTTCACTGGTTGTCGAGATTTTACTTCACCCACGTTTACCGTCGTGAACATGGCACAATGATGATAATGTCTTCATGTATATATTGTATTGGGGCATAGAACTTTTGCTATATTTCTCGAAATGATTTGAAGTTAGCGGGCATATTTAAAGAATGAATTACGGACTCTTCTAGTTCAAAACGAACGCGTCTGGATGATTGTTAATAAGGAACATCGTTAGCATCACAAAGTGAAGAGAAAATTTCAGCTTGCTTCAAATGTGCTAATTCTGACATTTCACTTTTCATCTGTGGAAAAGTTGTTGAAACGCGATCGTTGTTAGAATGCTAAAAAGGAAAGACAGCGATGACGCGGAGAATAGAAGTATTGGTAAAGAAGTACCAATATTTTGTAGGCACGGAACATCGGGAAGAGACAGTTGCAATTTAAATAGAATCCGTTTCATGCATCTCTACTATTTTTGATAATCCATTGCGGTTCACCTCCAATTTTCATATGTCTAAATTGGGAAGAGAGAGAAACGTCGTTACATTTTCCGTGTCTTTAGTTATTTTTCATTTTCCATAACGACTGACTTATTATTTCATCCATTTTTGGGCTGCATTTCAGTTTCAGAAACTTTTTCCAAAAATATTGTCGATTAAGTCCTTTCTTGAAAAATTAGTCATTGATAAGGGATCTAAATCCATGAAGCTTTTTAAAAGTGTGTCACGATGGAACAGTTGAATACCTGTTTCACATTTCACACTGCAGTGAATTCTTTGTCATAACCGTGACAACTCAGTGCAACTTACTTATAAAACAGCTCTCATTCACTATATTAAGTATTTCAATAACCGTTTATACATCATCGAGTTAGCTTCCCTCTTAATATCTAGCTTCTAAAATGAACTTTGAGTTGAAGTCGGCATGAAGCGAAGCCTCATGTGTAACTGTATTCATAACTCTAGTTCTGCCATACTTTCAATTAGCTGTAATTTTTCACAATAGTTATTAAATGTCACCTGTTGCACTAAATGTTGTCGTACTCGATTGCTACTGAAATGTTTCGGGTAGGACAAAACTGAACTTGTCGGGAAATTCGACTCGGTTACACACGAGAATGGAAGTGGTTAAAGTTCTCGAAATGTAAAACATATATTATTTTAAATCTTAGATGATCAGAAAGTTCACAATTAAACAGTGAGAAGGACAGTGTCGCGGATTGCATTCCATGACACAGTCACACTATTCCAGATGATATGAAGATTGTATTGTAACCTGTTGGGTATTTCAACTTCAGTGTGAAAGAGAGATATTATAAGTTGCGGGACATGAAGTTTGTAGCCGAAGGTCAGTTCTCAGCTGATGACATATGTGCAAATACTACCTGGTCATTAACACACATCTTACAATTTTTGCAACTTTCAACACATTGTTCAATTTACCTTCTTGCTCTTTGGGAACTAATTTGAGCGCGGCTTTTTGGATACGAAAAAATCCACAACAGATGGTCTTTGACCTTGACCAGAAGACTACTTATATATAGGAAGTATGGAGATAAAACTGACAAGTCAATGTTTACATTACAGCGCGGAGTTCTACAGGTATATTGCATCAGATTTGCGTGGTTAATTTCGAATAATGCTATGCTGGTAATAATAACTCCTCGACAATATCAATTTCAATGGTATCATTGATGAGAAGCCATAAAAGATGAGCTGTGGTTAGTGATAGAGTGGCAATGCAATGTATTCAGTAGTAGGGATTACGGAGTAGCAGAGGGACAGAGGAGTAATGAAAATTTGGAATTGAATTGAAATTCTTAACAAGAAAGCAGTTATCCCAGTTTGGAGGAATTGACTGCTTTCGACCATCTGTACCTTGAAAAGTGTGTTGGTGTCTCCAAAAATCTACTCGCTAGCTCTTCAATCGATCGCAAAAATAGGACTGCTGACCGGAGATTGAAATATATCCCACACTCTCACTATTTCTATTTCAAATTCCAGCGAACTCCAGCTATCTTTCCTCTCTAAATGACTGAAACGGGGGGCCGAAATAATTGATTCAGAAAAATTACCCGTTGGTAGCATCAGAAACGAGCTTTTTTCAGCTACTTTAAAGTTAACTTTCACATCCGTTCATTCCTTCTTCCTTCTTCCTGACTTTCCGGTTGAAGTTAGCAGCTCCGTGGAAGATAATCAATCGAATAAATGAACATTTTGGCGTTTGTAAATTCAATCGATTTTTTCGATCGTTTCGCTTTTGCAATCGATGCGTTCGCTAACATGAAAATGTTGAAAGGGATTGACAGACCTATCCCTCTCACGGTAATTATGCTTCCCTCAATTGCCTGAAACGAGAAGAAATGATTAGTGGCGCTGTCGGTGTGCACTGGTCGTTGTGGTATGAGCGCAGTGTAATAAATATCTGATGGGTTAGGTGACGACGTACGGTGCAGTCTTTTCAATCTCTATCTCTCTAATCTTTTCATCTCTCTTCACTACTCCTCACTCTTTCATTGGATGGTAATAATACTTGACCCTAACATCTTATCATCATTCTATAATATAATACTAATATTAATAGTGATATTTTCAAATTTCCCATTTATATTTTTGACCAAATTGCTTATGGCACAGGTGGCACTGTATGACATGCATTTCTATAGAATGATGGTAAGGTCATCATAAAGAGAGCTTATCGTTTGGGTTCAGACAGTGTCAACAGACCTCTTTCAGAGTCCCAAATTCTTCCTATGCCTACCTATAAATGCTCAACATTTCATTAACTTTGTTGGATTACTTCTCCGACAAATTTAAGCTCAATAGATCTAATCCTTGGATATGTCTGTCTCTTTGAAATGGGTGACATTTTGAATGGAGGAGTTATATGGTGGAAAATTTCTTTCCTTCTTTAAAGTAATTTTAAAGGTATTTTCTGATCGAAAATGACTGATGAGTGTGTCCTATGAACTTCTGTTTTCCTTGCGTTTCTTTTATTGTAACGAACAAATTTGTGGGTTCAGTAGAAGAACCTCCTCTCTTCGTTGAGTGCAGCTGTTCCACGAGTAAAGATGGCGGACAACATCATCATCATCATCATCATGTGCTCCTCTTCACCTCCTGAATCATCCAACCTCTCGATATCCTTCCTGGCTCATTCCATCTTGCGATGCACTCTTTCCTTTTAGATACAGATGAGGCAGAGAATTAGAAAGGTTAAGCGATTCTTTGAGGTGGCGGACGGAACGATCTTTCTAATCTGATTCGCAACCCAGTGAGAAGTGAGAAGAAATGAAACAGTAACGGTGCAAAGGAAATGATCAGAATGCAGGAACAGTTGATAGTGCACGAATCAGTTAAGCAATGTTTGATCAGTGCAAGCGGAAATGCAACTCAAAGCACTTTCTCTCTCATTCCTCCTCTAACATCATTGCACTTTTCTTACAGTGTGCAGCGCTGAACAGATTCATCTATTGTGTATTACAGATGTAGCAATGTGCGATCTCTTTCTGGAGATCATTTCAATCTTCATTTGCTTTTGTACAGGCCATTGTAATCTTTACTATTACAAAGTTCTCAAATTTCTCTTTACAGTGAGCTGAATCGATGTTTCAGCCCTTACATTTGCAAACTTTCCTTTTTGTTAAATTAGTGATCAAATGATCCAGTTAGCCAGGAATGTTGTTCCTATCCCTAAATGGCACTTCTCTTCCATCAGTCAACACTTCTCCCATCCATTCGCGATGTTTAGAGGAGGAAGGAGAGTATTGCTCTCATTTCCATTTCAGACTACTGCCGTAGAGAGAGAGAGAGAGACAGAGAGACAGAGAGGGTCAATTTTTCCTCTCCAGAAATACTTTGCAAAGAAAGATACCTCCTGAAGTAGGGAAAGGGAAAGTTACTGTAATCTGTGTATCAGTGAACTGAATTGATTCACACATCCATTCTTCGAAGCTATAACTCTCTCGTATTTTCCTCACCTCTTTTTCTTATCAACAACTAATTTGTAATCATTCTAGATCGTAGTAAACGTACCTGCCAAGAATAATGACAAATAATGAGCAGAAGGGAAGAATGCCATCATCAGAAGCGGCGGAAAAAGAAAGATTACTGAAACATGAAGAAGCAGCAAAAGCACTCGGTAAACCGATCTACGATGACATGAAGGTTGTTTTTTAACATTAATTCTGTTAGTGTTCACTAGCCAAAAATCTGTACTGAATCAAATTGTTTTGTTTCCTTTAACAATGATTACGTGATGTGATGAATTCTCCTTCGCCTTCTTCCTCTTTGCTTTATTTATTTGTTTGTTTGATAGGGAAGCATATTAGCGATAGCAGGCATATTTCAGGGTGGTTCCTTCGTATGTTTTTATTATCTTTTTCCTATCATTTCCACAAACGAGCTTGCAGCATTTGCAAACATGCAAATATTTGTTGTGGATGTGTCATTTTCCGATACAAAAGAGAATAATAATATGGCGGTGTCGACATTTGCACTAATTGTTTAAATACATCGCTTATCTTCCTGTTTACCATTAAAAGATGATCTTTGGTACTGCTTTCAAAATGGGAGGGGGCTTACGAATAAAACCTCACTGCGGGAATAGAAACCGGAAAGGAAGCAGTAAAAAGGAGGAANGGGGGGGGGGACAAAAACTATTCCAAAACACCGCACTGCTTTGCTCGTTTTAGATATCTATAGAAAAACGAGAGCCAGACGTTATCACATGACGCTCTCTGCATTTTATCCTTTTATATTCTTACCCTTTCTCCAACATTATTTCATAATGCAAATTTATTTTACTTTCTTCGCTGGACCACATACACCTTATTTCGAATTCGACGTTTTGTTACCATCATCGCTAATGATCTTATTTTAAACCGAATTTTATCAATCAACCATACTTCTTTTTGATACAGAACATTCTTTACCTTCAAAGCTTGTTTTCCCCTCATGGGAATATGGCAACAGTCGCGTTTTGTGGGTAAGATATAAATTTGTTGAAATATTCGTGAATCGGAACTTGTTGTCTTCCGAAATATTCATGCAGGAACGGATTACTCAGCCAGGGAATCCCGAATACCTAGTTAAAGAGAAGTTATTTAATCGTGGAGAAGATGCTGGGCGGTTAAAGAGTGGAATGTGCAGGTCACTAAAGTAAATTGGTCAGTTAACGAAAAGAAAATCGAAAAGATAAAAATGGATTTAGTAGCAAGAGGAAGATAAAAATCCGCAAAGCTTCATACCTTTCTTGAATGATAGCTAGTGATAAAAGAAGTATGCCTAAAAAGGGTGATAGGTATTTAATTTTTCGCCAATCCGTTATTTATCTCCAAATTTTAGCAAGTTAACGCTGCTATGGCAACATTTTCATTCCCAGTTTTCTCAAAATGCTAAGAATTGAATTATTAAATGAGTAAACAAATGTTTGATTGTTGAATTGTGAGGATGATTTCTTCGATGTGTTTTTTACTTCACAGTACAATTTCCGTTCAGAATGTTGAAATTCAACAGGAGGCCATTTGTTTGCTTTTTTAATCGATGATTTTTGTAGATGTTTTCATATTTCAACTATTTTTTATCAAAGCTGCGAATTTTCCACAGAGATCTAAAAATTTTTCAGTGCATATTAAAAAAAATGACTTTACAATTGTAAAATAATGTACCAATTCAGCACTTAGTAGCCGATGATTTGATTTCAAATGAATGCCAAATTTGCATATATAAAAAAGTTGATGCATCATGATGTATATTGTAAATGCATATATTACCGTGATTCCGTTGAAAATGTACAGTGATAAGCGTCTGTTGGTCGGTTGACTGCAGTTTCGTTCAGAAGGGATTTTGTACTAATTACACCTAATATCGGCGCTAGTGTCGAGGTTTGATTTGCGAAGGAAGTGGGAAGGAGGAGCATTAACAGAACGGAATGGAAGGTACAGAGGTAGACTTTTTCATTTCTTCTAACTTCTCCCGGTCTCCTTATAACATCCCGCACCTCTGATGAACACTTTATTGGGGCGAAGAATAATTGCATCGTAATGTTTTACGAGCGGCCTGCAAACACCTCAATGCCTCATTTTTTCGATATAGATTATTTATTGGTGGAGATGAAAAGTCTGGATGGAATTGTTCCTTTCACTGGGTGATTCTGTTTACTTTCATAGCGCTAATAGTTGTCGAGACCAGTGGTGTTTTTCTTATTTGTTATAAATTTCTCTGACCGTTTGTTCATGTGGAAGTGGAAAAAAGAGCATTTCTGTCTAACATTTATTCATACCCTTTTAAAAAAGTTGTCATTTTTATATGTTTCTTCGTGTTTACTGCCTCTCCAAAAAACATCTTCTAAGATTTACTAATGAATAAATTTTGTAAGAGAGTGATAAAGAGATGTGATATGCAAGAATGTGCCGCAAATATCATCATTCTATATCAGTATTAACATAGAAATACTAACTTGTGTGATTTGATAAAAAAAAATGAAATAAAATGTAATACTTAAAATACATATATCGGGTGCTATTAATATTAATCTGATCTTAGAGGAATTTGTGAAGTCAGCTTTACATGGAAGTTCATGCATTAATACCGCACTTATCTTTTCTATTTCGACCGTCATATGTATATTTTCTTAATAGATAATCGAATTCTTCAATTTTGGGTTGAATTTACTGAGTGTGCTTTTTTTCTCAATTTTTCTTTTCATTTTCGCAACTCGAAATTTTTCAAAATTTTCAATGAGATTCAGAAATTTTTGCCCATTTAATACGAATCATTCGCTTGGAATGGGTGATTAGTCTGTCGGTGATATTTGATTAGTTTCATAACTTTTCCAACAGTCATTTGCCATTCATCTCATTGAATTCCATAAAGTATTGTTAAAATTTCAAATTTCAAGCATCGATGGAAACTGAAAATTGATATAACAGAACAATTGTGGCAGCAGTTGAGTCGGCTTGTTCAACTTTCAGTCCTTAACTTCTTAGCCTTTCGTTGCAGAATGAAAAGGAGAAGGAAGCATTTTATATTACTCACACAAAAAAAAGCAAATGCAGCAACAAATGACTTTCTAACAGTTGGTCACAGTGATTCTTGCTTCTTCTCAAGTTCACATCCTTCTTTATCAGCTAATTCATTTTACCCATCCCTCATCACACTTTTATGGATATTGTACTGTCATTTCACTATAAATTAGTTTATTGTGTTAAAAGTTTAGCTAGTAATAATAATAATAATAATAATAATATATTGCACATTGCATGTCTTCAATGATTTGTTCCCAACCATGTGATTCTCAGTTGTGTAAGATGAACATCAGCGATAAGAGAATAAATAAAGTGCGATGGGATGTCGTCCCGTCAACGATGAACATTATTTGACATAGGAAAGCTCGCGAAAATGATCTTGCCGATATGGCGAATATCACTGGAAATGATATTAGTAGTTAGTGGTGCTCAGTGGTGATATCTTGTGTTGCAGTCCGTTATACATGTCTTCATTTCATTTATGTTATCATCGAGAGCAATGTACGAATTATTATACTCTCATTACCCACATCAAAAGTTTTCCCTTTAAATGGAGCCAAGTTTCCATCTCTCAAAGTAGATATCTTGTGAGACACCGATAGAAATCTTTCATTCTTCCTTTCTTTTTCTCTCACTTTTATTTCTTTATTGTTTCATGTTTTAATAAATCAATTAATTTGCATGACAACAGCAGCAAATAATTAGCAGCGCTGCATATTTTTTCTTTTTCCCGAACTAAAACTGGTAATTGCAATTATAATTAACTGGAATTCAGCTCAGCGTTTGAACCTAAAACTTATCTTTTATCAAAAATTTCAACTTACTGTTTGTTTCCAAATCTTTTATGGTTCGCAATTTTTCATCCATTTTGATAAATTTGCTTTTAACTTAAAAAAAAGGAAAAGGTTTTGCGTAGTAAAATGTAAAGGGCGCTATAAACTGTGCATTTTTTTATTTCTATTGCTTATCATTAAATCTCCGCCAATCATTCTAATAATTCAGTTGACGTTGATAAGCGATAACACATGCATAAACGAAACAAATATTTCTGCGAGACTTAGTTAGATGTAAGTTTGACTCTGTTTTTGCATTGGTTAGAGTGAGACCCCATTTAGTGGTTCTTTTAAATTTTACAATTGTGTCGGGCTGTTGTAGTGATAGATCACACATATATCTTCCTGATAATTGTCATATAGTTGATGTTTGAAAAAATAATTTAACAGGCAAGAAGTGTTTCACCGCTATTGCTGTTTACTGCGCTTCACAATGGTTGGTTGGCATTGCAGTTGGTTGATTGGCATTGTTAGCAACTTTGTAGTCGTTTGCAACTAATCGTCTTTCATTGCTTAATGAATATTCATTAAAATAACTCTGCAAAGTGATCATATCAACAGTTGTGTTTATATTATCAGAAATTGAGGAAATGACTGTGACGGAACTGTTGCTTCTCATATTTTCTCATTTTCATCTTTTGTCCTCTTTCTGATATCACTTCAAAAGTTTTGTCTTCATGCTTTATATGATATTGGCAGATATCATTTCTTTCTACTTTATCAGCTTGCTTGTCATCGAAGTCTACTGCGTTTGGTCTAGGGAAGTGATGTCGACATCTCCTCTACTCTGTTGTTTTCCTATTTTCAGTTTCCTTTATTTGAACAGACCATTGTTCCCTTCCACTGAAATATATAACGTTTAAGGACAAGAAGTAGATTAGAAAAGCGTATGATTATTTCCAGTCAAAATTTCTTTCCTCTTATTACGGACAAATTTGAGATGAACCTGAAATTAAGATTGGAAATCTTATCCAACCATCCCTTGCAAATAAGGTCAAATTTTTGGAACATGAAAAACCGAAACTGAAAGCTTCGAATAACAAACAATTCATTGAAGCTCTAATTGTCCATGGAAAGGGAAAAATAACACAGCTTCGCTTTTCACGTGATTTTATTGCGTTTTTCATTTTGAAGGCACTTTCGACAACAGATTTCATTCGAACTGTATAGTTCTTTACATGTGATAAGGTATTGTGGGACCGGTCCTCAGCTGAACACAAAAACAAGGAGCCTGAGCGTAAATCAGTTCGTAAACAACAACATCTTCTCCTGTACCGAGCATACTTTGTGTTATCTTCATAGCAGACGATTATCTTGCCGCACAAAAATAACTGTATTTTTTGACAAACTATTTTGCAAATTGAACTGTTGTGCACTGAGAAGATGCTGAGAAAAGGTCAACAAACAGGTGAAGTACGTATTGCTCTCTTCCATCCTTCAGCTTCTTTCAAACTTTGAAATTTATTTTACTTTGAAATCTTATTTTTTTTGAATCTTATTTTCAGACTTTGAAATCTTATTTTACTCATTTATGTAAAGCGCATATTAATCTCTTCCCTCTTCTCTTGTGTCTTCTCTACTTATCCTCACAAATAAGTTTATTGGAAGTATTCTTACGCCCGTATATCTTTTTGATTGTCCTACAAAGATTGGAATATATAATCACTCAAAAAAAATTAACTTCGAGTTTTTTACTATTTCAGATTAATTCTCCGAAATAAAATTTTCACTCTTTTATTTAGTCTTTTTATCGCTACGAAGAGAAAATTTTTGGGTACTAAAAAAACTAAAATTTATGATAAAAAATAATTCTGTTGGGAAGGAATATTTGTTGCTTTTCGCTTCATATAAATTGCAGTGCAGTGTAAGCAAAAAAAATAAGCTGCAAATGTAAGCAAATTAAACGAATAAAATATTAAATTCAAGATTAGTACCGTTTTATCTTTGAATTCCGATAACCATTTGAAAATTTCAGGGCGGATGGACACAGCCTTTGGTGATGGCCGTTGCATCGGCAGCAATCGGCGGTTCATTTCAATTCGGTTATCATATCGGATGTGTTAATGTTCCTGCAAAAGTATTCGGCTATCTTTTCTGTTTCTTATTTTGTCTTGTAGTACATTAAACTTGCAAAAATTTTTTTCGAAGTGTAATTTCAGATAATTAAATTATGGATGATCGACTCACATAAGAAACTTTTCGGCGAAACATTAACACTTGATGAAATTGGCAGAGTTCAGTGGTGTGTGCCGTTAGCTTTTCTTGCTTCCTTATTATTATTACTTCAGAAATTATTTCTTGCTGTTAAATTCAAATTCGTAGTATTAAATTTAGAAAGCGACCATATAAACAGCAATTGGATTATTGTAAGTCTGTGCAATTTGAACGAAAAACGTCTTCGAAGTTAAAGAAATACAATTAAAATTCAAACATTAATTTCGTATTCTTAAAAGTTTTGTCAGGTAATATTTAATTGAAATTATCTATTGCAATTCTTTAGGGCCATAGCAGTTGGTATATTTGCTGTGGGTGGTATGATTGGCGGATTGGGATCGGGTAAAATGGCTGATTGGTTAGGTCGTAAAGGCGCTATGGTATTTAATAATGTTGTGGCTGTTTTGGCTGCTGTGCTAATGACATTGGCTTACTATGTTAATGTGTATCCATTGCTAATCGTCGGACGTCTTGTTATTGGCATCAATTCTGGTAAGTATTTCGGTCATTCATAATCCTATTTATTTTGCGTACCTAATTACTCAGAAGAAAGAGGCTCAAATTAGTTAGCATCGACCACTCATTATTAAAAAATATTAATATGTTGACAAATAGTCATATCCAATGTATTTGAAACTATTACTCCATGTACATACTTTTGTAACTATCTCGAAACTGCTGCCGATTCATAAAACGGTTTCGTTGATTGTATTAATTTATAATTTCAGGCTTAAGCTCTGGTTTAGTACCGATGTATCTTACCGAGATATCGCCGGTCAATTTACGTGGTTCCCTGGGTAGTGTTGCACAACTTTTGGTTACCATCGGCATTTTATTCTCCCAGGTTATTGGTCTGCCACAAATCCTTGGATCGGCGAAATTGTGGCCTATGGTTTTTGGTGACTTTTGTTTCGACTTGCAAAATCTGTTTTTTCATTTTTCTGTTGTGAGAAAGTAAAGGAAAAAAATTTTGATTGTTGTCAATTATTTTCTGGTTGGTAAGCTTGCAAGCTTGTGTTCACTCATGAGCTTATTAATTAGCTTTCCAATTTGTATCGCCAAAAATATAAAATTTTAATTCGGCAATAATATTCTATATAGGATTCACCGTGGTACCAGTGATTTTCCAAATAGCTACACTGCCGATGATTCCGGAATCGCCCAAATACAATTTGATTGTAAAAAATCGTGCTGAGCAGGCTGAAGAGGATCTGAAAAAGTTACGAGGAAAGGACAACGTAATATTTTTTTATTGCTTTTGGAATGAATGTAATACTTTTGAGCTAAATTTTTCTGAGAATTAATCTTGTCGGAAAGTTATATTGGCAGTTTGGAAACATACAATGAACAAGGAAGTGAGAACTGGACTGAAATGAATTTTTCAGGTGAAAGCCGAAATTGATTTGATGAAAGAGGAGCAAACCAAGATAAATGCTGTTCCCAAGATGGGTATCTTTGATTTGTTCCGTGGTAACTTGCTGTGGCCCATGGTTATTGCTATTTTAATGATGTTAGCTCAGCAGTTTTCTGGTATCAATGTGGCCATGTTTTTCTCCACGATGATTTTTGAAGGTGCGGGGTTGGGTGATAAAGCGGTATATGCTACCTTGGTGATGGGTTTGATCAACGTCCTCATGACTGTTATTTCTGTATACTTGGTGAGATTTTTTTTCAATATTTTTTACACGTTAGAGATAACTCAAAATTCCCTAATGTTAACTTGAGATGAGATTAATAAAATAACTCTATTTGTTATGCCACTACTGTTGAGGCTTTTTTATGTTTTATACTTCGATTTTTGTTGTGTGTTTTTGAAATTCTTCTTATCCTTTTTCATTTAAAAAAAAATGCTGCAAATTCAGGTGGACCATCCAAAATGTGGGCGTGTCATGTTGCTTATGATTGGATTGATTGGAATGTTCTTCGCTTCTATTGCTATTGTTATCTTCATTTCAGTCTACGTAAGTACACGCTATCATAACGTATTAATGTTTGTTCGTGTATTGAATCACGTAAATTTTTAATTATAACTCTGAGCAGCAAAAGTGAAAATAGATATATTTTTACAGACATCAGATCAAATAAACAACAAATGGGCATCTTATCCAGCTTGTTTGTTCGTCTTTCTCTTCGTGATTTTCTTCGCGACTGGTCCAGGTAACAATCAGGCTTACATGGAATGAAAATAGAAAATGAAATAATCGAATTCTTATAAATACCGCAGATAGCCACCTAGAGCCTCGATATTGCTGATGAACTATTTGCTACTTATTGATGTTTTTTTTTCAGGTTCCATTCCATGGTTTTTTGTGTCAGAACTTTTCACGTCAGGTGCTCGTGGTGCTGCAAATTCTGTAGCCGCAGCAACAAACTGGACTGCAAACTTCCTCGTCGGAACATCCTTCGAATTTCTCAACGTAAGCGGCAATTCTATTTTTTATTTCTTTGGTAACTCTACGGATAGTCGTAGAATCTTTTAATAGTCTAGTCTTTCTGATCATTGCCATAAATATTGATTCATATTTATCCATTAATTGATACAGAAATATGTATTCAGTACATTTACAAAGTCATTTACAAAGAAAAACTTTTTACAAATACATTTACAAAGTCACACAAACGGATTCGAGAATTTTCAGCAAGTATTGCACCAGTACACCTTCTTAATCTTCTCTGGTTTTCTGGCATTTTTTGCATTTTTCACCTGGATGTATGTGCCGGAGACGAAGGGTCGTACTGTAGAAGACATACAGGATGAACTGGCTCGAGGGAAATCTCGATTTGCTCGAAATGCGGCATAAATAGTTACGAACTTGGAAAGAGCTCAAGAATACCAACTATCTATAGATCGTTCGACATTTTTGAGTTCAAATAATTGACAATTTTCGCTTTTCCTGAAAAAGAAAATATTATTCCCATTTTGTTTGTTTCACTTTCAAGGCGTTTTCTAAGCTAATAATGATTAAGAATTAATTATTATCCTATTAATTAGATGTTTGAGTTTTATCTTTCAATCGAAAATCAGGGTTGAATTTCATCTCTTCCTCTTTCTCCTTCAATTATTGCTGTTGCTCGGCAGTGCAATTTCCTCGGCGATGTAATGTCCAGATATATTTCAAACTTTCAAAGAGATATGTTTTTGCTGAAAACTTGACGTATTCTTTGCGCTCACTTTTTTCCCACTTTCTCAGCACTTATTGTCAAACTACTATGCTACTGTTTAAACATCTTTTTTTCTAGCTTACCTCAGGCAACAAAGTTCTACACTAATTTTTTGCTTGTCCCGTACAGAATTTAAAATAAAACTCAAGTATTTAGGTATTCGATATACATAAAGCTCCTTTTTGCGAATTTGAATTCTAAACGAATGGTCATTCATTTTCATAATATTTATTTTGATTTTTTCGATCTTAATCTTTTTTCACAAATTATGTATTCGCCCTTTTTCGGAAGAACGGAATATTGAAAATTTTCATAGATTTGTTTTTGCTGCTGACTAACGGTATCATGACAACATGATCATCATCGCCTTAATATGTTTTTTATACCAGCTACTGAAATATATCTCTTCATTATGCAGATTTTCTTATCAAACATAAATGCGAAAAGAAATTTTTTTGTGGATTTTGGACACTGATTACTGGCTGTCACAGTCATCATTGATTAAAACCAGCTTTTTGTCATGTTTCCCGCAGCATGACTCTTTAAACATCCGGTCGTGTTAACGATACGATTTATTTTTACTTTATCATCGTGTACATCTGTGCTTTATTACTTTCATACAAATGAAAAAGTTTAGCTACCGGAAAGCAGCAATGTGATAGGATCTCAAGGACTGATTCGATCTTCCGATTTGAATGGCTTACTACTTAGAAACACTTCTTGCATAAAGACTTTTAGTCCCAAGGAAATGTGAAATGTTATAAATTCTGACGTTTGCAAATTTGAAAAATCATTGTCAAGTGGAGGGTGTCATAAGTAAATTATGCGATATGAAACATGTCCTAACAATTTTCTACACATTGATCGAGCCAGAAATAAAATAGGACATCGAGAACCGTCGAGAATTTCGATTGATTCTGCCAGAAATGGTAGCCCATCTTTGCTTTGCAAGTGCTAATTCAAATGGTTGTACCGAGAAATGCGCTTTTCTCTTTCCTCTGTGACGGAATCATATTTATGATCAAGTTTATCAATTGCTACCTCACTTTTGTCAGTCAGATGATGAAAGTATAGAGCATAAACGGTTGGAGAGAAGATGCGAATGAGTTAGCTGTTGGAAGAATGGAATTTGAAGGACAGATGAATTATTGTGCTTCTGATGTCTGTTGATTCATGTGAAGGAAGGTACATTGTAAATTTATTTCACGAAGATTGTTCGTTATCAGCTTAAAATTTGGTACTTTGCTAAAGTATACTAAATTATATCCATTACTCTTTCGGACACTTGCTACCTCGTTTTGAGAATTTTGGTAGCTAAATGATTTAATTGTTATATCAGATTAAAGAAGAAACCCAGTAAATGATCAGATCACATTACGGGATTTCCACATCAGTAAGCAGTCATTTCTCGGTGCTGCACTTATTTACGGATAAATTTCCGTCCTCATTCATCTGATTGCCCTTTCATTACTCAAACATCATGCTTGGTTAGATGGGGCGACGCAAGTTTTCCTTTTCTTCCTTTCCATGGTTATCCTTTCTGTGATAAAAATAAAGTGCAAGGATAATGAATATCTACCATTCATTTGAGATTCTGATCTCCGAAATTAATGAAACAAATATACAATTTTGATTTAAAGTGTCAATATAAAAATGAAGTGATCTGGACGAAGTATAGATTCAGGCATTATGTACAGCTTTCCATCTGCTCCTGATTGAATGTCCCGGTATCAGCACACCTTGGATCGGTTTTTCCTATATCATGATTGTTGGAAGTTTTGTCAACTTTATCCTATCGGATGGAACAGGCTCTCACATAGTTTGTCGTTGTATCTTCCAAATTTCTTTCTGTAATATGACCAGCTGTAAATGTTATTTGAGGGAATGGATAGATCTTGAAGACAATTACAGTCGGTACTGTGTTTCCTTGAAATGCATGCTTTCTACGACATGTTTAGAGAGGAACAGAGTTTGAGCAATTAGAAAGTGCTTTTGTTCAAAAATCGAAAATAGTTATTTCCGACAGTCGAGAAACGTACGCAGCAGCTTTTCATCAATCACTGAGCCCGTGCCTCTCAATCGTGCGCTATCAGTCACCAACCTTGTTATCACCGCTGGAGGACTTCACATATCGCAGTTGGTGGTACAGTTTCGTTCGAGATATCTCTTCCGAGTTGTTGCCAACACCTTCCTTCTCTACCCCTTTTCCAATCAAACAAACCATCCCTGTCAACAACCACACAACAGCGACGGTACAAAGTCCAACATCTTCGTGTACCTCGCAGTGCCATTCGGTGATGTCCCATTTATTCCGCATGTGTCACTCAGGAAAAGAAGAACAATTCGCGGCAATGATGTCTTTCTTCTTACCGCTAAATTTAATTATTCAAATTTGCTCTCGAAATGAATCATTGCTTAGTGCCTATCCTCATGCTGTACAGAGTCACTTTCGTCAATCCTACTTGAAACTAATTGTTCCAGTTAGATGAACAGAAAGATCTTATCTGTTTTACAACAATTAACAAGTTTCGGAAGTACGAAAAAGTTTGCTCTGTCGACACTTTCCGGTTTGCATTTCATTGAGCTGACTCAACACAGCCAACACGTATTCAATGTGAAATTAAATCGACCGGAAACGAGAAATGCGTTCACTGTTCCCTTTTGGAGGTTCGTGGATGAATGCATTTCAGATGTTAAATTTTTATTTCGAAATATTCTTGTTTTAACTTTGTTTAAGAAACAAATAATTAATCTTCATACTTCAGAGAACTTCAAAGTGTTTTCGACCATCTAGCAATCAATTCCGAATGTCGTTCAATTGTTCTCTCTGCAGCCGGAGAGTCGTTTTGTGCAGGAATCAATCTTAAAGATGAGTTCGACGTCTGTTTCTCATCTCTCTTGCACGATTGGAATTTATTGCTGTATATATGCATGTTGAAAGTGTAAGAAGAATGAAAATTTCATCGTTTCAATAATTTCCAGCATCTTTCGGCTATTGTGCACAACAACACTTTGGACGTTGGTCGTAAATCGTTAAAGCTTCGTGAGCTAATAGCCACCTGTCAGGACAGCTTTACATCGCTGGAAAAGTGTCCGAAACCAGTAATCGCCGCGATCCATGGCCACTGCATTGGGGCTGGAATCAGTCTTGTGGCTGCTGCTGACATACGTTATGCTTCTAACAACACCGTCTTCTCTATAAAAGTTAGTTGCACGTAGAAATATTCAGAGTGTATTATGCGACAGTTAAGCAAATTGGAGGCAGAGTGATTAAAGGAGGTGGACATTGGCTTAGCTGCTGATGTTGGAATTTTGAATCGAATCAACAAGCTCGTTGGAAATGACAGTTTGACTCGTGAATTTGCTTACACAGCTCGTGATTTCAACAGTTTGGAGGCATTGAAGTACGGTTAGTTTCGCACTTCCTATTATTTTTGAAGTAAGAATAGAGGTTTCAAAAAACACATAACTTTACAAGGCTTTGCAAATTTCACATCTCTCTAATTCTAAATTTCGATCAGCTGACGAGTTTCAACCCTACACATTATTTACAGTAAAATAACAGGTAATATTGCCGACAAATCACTTCATAAACTGGAAGTTGTGATGCATGCAGAGTACATATAGATTCTCGGATTTGTTGCTGGCCTAATTTCTGAAGTGGTGAAATTGCTGGACATTGCCATTTGCCATGACGCTCCAGTCAATAATGAATAAAATTCAAAAAATAATACTGTTGCTTTGAATCAGGGAATTTGAATTTTGATAATACCAGGAAGCAAAGTTTTTCTTCAACTTTTCTTATGCCTTTTTTAGCTTCTCTTATTGTTAACAATAAAAAACATGAAGTTATTGATTTCAAATCTTTGCAACGGTTTTTCTTGCCTATTTTTTGCGTATTAAATTAGGGAAGCGAGTAATCATCGAGTCTAAAGTCAAAAATTTGAAAAATTTAAAACTATCGTGCATCCAAAAAGAATCGAAGGGCGGAAAAAAATTATGCTGGCAAATTAAATATTCAGTGGAAAGTACATGCGCTCTTTTATTTGATGAAAAGATGAATGTAAACAGCTAGTCAGACTCAGTGAAAATGATTTGCTGTAGGTGTGATATTTCATCGAGAGATGTATTTGATTAGTATCTGAATAAAATAGGGGGTCTTTAGGTTTCATATGTCGACAGTTCGATAGCACGGAAGAGTGCTTATCAGCGGCTTTATCACTTGCGGACAACATCGCTATGAAAAGCCCGATTGCTATTCAAGGTACCAAATTGGCATTGAACTATTCTCGCGATCATCCTATTGACGATTCGATCCAATTTATCCGCATTTGGAACCAATCACAACTACAATCCGACGATTTGTTCCGAGCAAGCGCTGCTGCATTTAGTAATGAAAAGCCCAAATTCAATGATGCTTAATATTCTTCCTTCGTTTTGTTGACCTGTCAAAGAAATGCTAATATGATAGTCTATCATTAGCCAGTTGAAATATTGTATTTCACTGATATATGCTTAAGAAATCGTTTCAGCTAATGGAGCATAAATTCATTTTAATTTCTAACAGGTTGATCGAAAAAACCATCTCACTTTCCGTTATTTTCTACAGCAATAAGGCTTGTGATATTAACATAGTATTGGATTATTCATCTACAATTGTATTGTGGCTGTATATTCCTACGCTAATTTAGAAATTTAAAATTACATGTTACAAACGTCATTCATAAAGGAAGGTAGAGTGAAATGGTTCAAAGTATGATGGATAGTGAATGTTTCATTCATTAAGGCGGGCGACAGGTGAGTTATCGTTGAGAATATCGTTTATATTTATAAATATATAT